TCCGCGTACTAAAGTTGTACTACAAAGTCGCCAGTTCTCAGCTTCCACCTCCACAGCTTGCTCCGCTGCATTGCGCCAATTTCGCGCACTCGGCACGCACGATCTCCGCAGAGGGTCGCGCGTCTCGCCTGCGTTTCGCGCACTCAACACGCACGATCTCCGCAGAGGGTTGCGCGGTAATTTCACGAATCGCGCTCTCGCCTGCATTTCGCGCACTCGACACGCACGATCTCCGCAGAGGGTTGCGCGGGCCCCCGGCGCGCGGCGCTCTCGCCTGCGTTTCGCGCAGTCGACACGCACGATCTCCGCAGAGGGTTGCGCGCGCAGCCGGCGCGCGGCGCTCTCGCCTGCATTTCGCGCACTCGACACGCACGATCTCCGCAGAGGGTTGCGCGGGCAGCCGGCGAATCGCACTCTCACCTGCATTTCGCGCACTCGACACGCACGATCTCCGCAGAGGGTTGCACTTTCGGTTGACGCTGTTCGTCCCACCCTCTGCCTTTAAGAGAGAATTGATAAAGTCGGGAAATGTTTTTTCATTAGGACATCTCCCGTGCACACTTGCCTACTCATTCCATGCTTGCATACTCATTGCATGCTTGCATACTCATCACTTGCATACTTACACTTGCATACTTCCACTTGCATACTTTGACACTTGCATTGCATACTTTGCACTTCACTGCTTTCGCTCTTCCACTTACACAGGGCTATATAGCGTTCATGTTGTCGTGCATAGCGTTCATGTTGTCGTGCAAGTGTGGTGAAAGTGTCAATGTGTAAGTGTAAGTGTCGATCAGTGTTCAAAGGATTTTCCGGAAGAACCCTTCGCAATGCTTTCGGGAAAAAACATAAATAATCTGGGGGGGCAGCCAAGGTAGTTTAAAACAGAAACAGTGGGTCCAACCCTGCAAGTTCATCATCTAACAAAGCTATCAGAATACCTCAGCGGAGGCAACTTGATGAAAATAAAATGAGCCACCCCAAGGCAAAAATCCTTATGCTGGACGTCGGCTCCCACTTCACCCTGATCTTGACCTATGATGCGTCATTAAATGTGGCTTTTGTGGGGGGGCTGGCTTTGTGCCATGCAGCAATTAGATAAAGTAAAATCTGTGCATCTTCAACCTCCAACCACAAAAGACTTGTCTCTGACCATGCCTCCCCACATTTTATTTTCATGCCATGTCTCAAGGAGATTTCACTGGGTTGGGTTGGACAGCACTGTCATGGCTTGTTTGGGGTGCTGTGCTTGTGTCTCTGTTTTGGGTGGCTTTCATTAACGATGGCCTCCGCTCTAGTAGCGATGACACATTCCCAAGTTGCACGCGCTTGCTTTTGAAGCGTCCCTGACTATCCAAGATTTTGAAAAGAGAATCAACCAGTGCTAAGGTGCAAAGTCATTGTATCACCACTGATTTTGTTTAAATAAAAAGAACTTCTCCAGCATCAGCCTCACATTCAAAAATAGATTCTTTGGAGCCAAGGTGCATATCTTCCAAACACTGAAAGCATTTTTAAAATAATGATGTGATTGTTTTTGTGCGCTGGAGGGGCTGAGCTCCTACATTTTATGTTCAATGCCCAGACGCCGGTGTATATTGGTGGAATAAACCATTGCTCTGCCCGAACTACAAGTAGCTTCATTTCACGACGTGATCCGTCGGCCGAATGCAGTGTTTGCAAAGAATGTGAACTGAATGTAATTAAACTGCAGGACCCTCGGTTGAGTTGGACGGCACAATCTGCCACGCCTCGACCCAGAACTCTGCTGGCCAGGACAAGTGGTGCACCTTTCCGTCACAATTGTGCACCGCTTCAGCCCGGCGAAAGAATGAATTTCACAAAATTGGTCACACCAAAGCAACGATTCAACGTATGATTCACATATGCTTCATGCAGACGCTGAGGCTGCAAACAATCGTGCCCTCACCGCACTTGGTCACCATTTGGTGCTTTCTCGGTATGTGTCGAGGCACGCCAAAAAAAGATGCCTGTGTGTGCACTGTGCAAATGAATATCCTTTTGAAGGTAAGAACCATGTAGGGTCGATGCTGGTATAGTATAGTGGTGCTGGTCCTGAATGGGAAACAGCCGAACCTCCACAATAGAAATAGTGCCTCGCGGAGGATCCTCAGACTCTTGAGCACGTTAGGGACGTGATGCCTCGGATGACGATAGGCAAAGCAACTTCAGCATGCGCGCCATTGTAGAGCATGTCACATGTCCTATAGGCTTGCAAGAAGTACATTTACATGTGCACCCAATGACCCAATGTGCTCTGTTAAGGCTTGCTCAGGACAATTTATTGCTACAGAACTGCAGATCCTGTATAACTCAAATGAGATAGAATCGCGTGCAATCAAAATCCAGTCCACTGAGGCTGACGCGATTTTCCAAGGAACAAAATTCTTGATGCGTCTTTCCTTGGCTCCTTTCCAAATTTATTCGTCTTCACGAGATGTTGCCATTCTCCAACCAAAGATTGAGGTATGAACGCTCGATTTCAGGCACAAAAAAACTAGCACTTTCAACTCAAGGGCGCACCATGGAATTTGTTTTCCCTCCAAAGAAGGTTCTGAGGCATAGCTAGTACTAGCAAAGTAGCCGGCGTGCGCAAATAAAAATATTGCGTAAGATTTGTCTATTGAGGCGGCAAAAGAAAACAACAGGCATGCTGTCTATTCAGGCTTTGGCAAACCCTTTAGCCATACAGGACCATACATGCCGAATGCTCCAGGTGTCCTGGATCAAGTGCTCAGTGTTGCTCAAAAATTGCCTGGCAAAGCGGCGGGAGATCCACGAGAACGAAAAGGAGTGCGCGTCCTTGTTCCTAGTAGTAAGGCCAGGAGCCCTTAGTAGCGTCTTGTTCATGATAGCATCGAGGTTGCTGCTATCATGCGTGCTGAGCATCGCTGTGAATACAGGTCAGCCATAACATGCCATGGCGTATTATCGATGTGGTTCTTCGTCTTGACTCTTGACCAGGAAGGGTCTCACTTGCGCACACAAAAATCACCTCACTTGGGCACGCAACGACTCACCTGCGCACACATGCATGTTGCTGCATTGGAATGGCACCTTCCTCCTCCAACTTTTGCCCTAGGAGCTCGGGTGGCTCACAAAAGTCATGCACCCTTGG